TAGTAAGAATGACATGTGAGAATTCTCTTCTGGATCCACATTTCCGTAGCAAGTCTACCATGACAGAAGCGCAGGACTGTCAGCTTCTCTGAAACATTCTCAGGCAGGACTCCTCAGGTTCCTCCATCAACGGTTGTGTGGATACATATACGGGTGTGTGCATGTATATACAATGTGCAGACATCAGTCCCTGTACACTGGCCTCCTCCACGGCTCTGCTTGGCATCTACATGGCTGTGGGTTATTCATCCCCAAGGCTGTTTGGTGCTTATGCACCAAAACATGTTAGCCGAATGGATGAAACACTGTCACATCCAGGAGAAGGAACACCCAGCAGAATCCCCAACTCTGATACAGGATTTGGCAATGAGTCAGACATGCAGCTGCAGCAGAAAGGCAGAGGCAATGGGATGCTGGCTCCACCCTGGGATGAGGGTGGGCATGTAGAGAAGACACTGGAGATAGAGGTGCAGGTGGTGGTTCAACCTTGGTAGGCAATGGAAGCCTGACTCCGTAGTGTCAGCAGGGTTGGCAAAGAGACAGTCTGGGATCTGGCTACTGCTGCCGCATGCTGGTCACCCAATAACTTTACGCTCTCCTAACTTTGAGCTTTCTGCTCTCTTACTCAGATGTCTTGGGACAGGCCTTTTACTCCAGGGAGAAACTGGACTTTCTAGCCAGAGGAACTATTTGGGCCTCCCTGGCTCTAGCCCAACCCTGGAGGCAGTATGAGTGATTCTCTCCTGCCCTCTGCCCGGGACAGAGTATGGTGTGTCTGGTGAAGTCAAGATGCCTCAGTGGGTCTCTCCCTGGGCCTGGTCTGTCTTTCTGCACATGTGAGCTGTCTTCCTAGCTGAGCGGGCCTCAGGACAGAAGGGTGTATCTCCATTACAGGGCAGGTCAGCTTTGTGTGCCTGGTGATGAAGTATAGGGTGATGTTTGTTCTGGTTCTGAGGCCAGGAAGAGGGTGTGTGGGGGTATCAGCATCACAAATTGTCTGATAGACAGGAGGAACACTGTCAAGAGAGTCCTCCACCAGGCCCTGGGCACCTGTGGTCCAGGGCTTTGTGGTCCTGGATCAGTGTATCTGTGCCGAGTGTCACTGGAGGTCTCTGGCTTCTGGAGGATGGACTGTGGCGTGGAATCCTGACAGGATAGGGCAGAACCATGGCAGGGGTAGGACAGAGCTCTGACAGGGTGGGGTGAAACCCTGTCAGGAGTTGGGGAGACTCTGCTCCCCACGATATGTCACTGTGGGACTTAGAGTGAGTTCCTGGCATTGGATGGACCTTCGTTTCTTCATTGAGACCTCTTTGGTTGCTACTGTAGGTCTGAGTGACTGTTACAATGTCCCTGGTGTTTCTGATGCTGTCACCATGGAGGTGTGAGGGTTTGCTGGAAAGCATGCTCCTTCTTATTGCTGTGATGAAATGCTTAACAGAGACAACTCAAGAACCATAGCAGACATGGTTCCATTACAGCAGAAGGCAAGTGTGATGGTTTGAATGAGAATGTCCCCCATAGGCTCCCATATTTGAACACTTGGTTCCCCACTTGGTGCTTCTGTTTGGGGAGGTTATGGAACCTTAAGAAAGGTAGGCTATGAGGGCTTATAGCCCCACCCACTTCTTGCTCCCCTTTCTGTTTCCTGTGTGTGTGTTAAATATAACAAGCCAATTTCTTGCTCGTGCTGCCATGCCTTCCCCACCATGATGGACTGTTATCCCCTCTGAAACCATATCCAGAACGAATCCCTTCTTCCTTTAGTTGCCATTGTCAGGGTGTTTTATCACTTATTAGCTGATTGGTTACTATAGTAACTAAATTAGAAACTGGTACCAGAAGAGGGGCCTGCGGTTTTTATGCTTTGGAGTATTTGGCGGAAGGATTTGAAACTTTGAGTCCTACACGTAGAGCTTAATGGGTCATTCTTGTGTGAGCTTAGAAGCTGATGGTGCTGAGAGAAACACAGACAGCGAAGGCCCAGCTCATGGGGTTTCAGAGAAAGCAAGCATAGGACCTTGGCGACTGCCATTAGTGTGACAGTTTGGCTAGAAATCTGGGGCGTTCTGCCCGTCTCCAAGACTTTCCAAGCAGGGTAACATTGAGTCTGTGGCGTCATCTTTTCTTAAGGAGGTCTACAAGGAAAAAGAGCAGCAGGTAGGAGAGAAAGGAATGAAGTTGAAGTGTCTGGTATGGAGAGGAGGCTAGCAGAGGAAGTTCAAGGTTGCAATTATAAGCAAGAGGCTTGAGTTGCTAGGAGATCATTGTCCTTAAAGAGAAGCCTCCTGCCCAGCCCTGGAACAGTGGAGAAGTTCCCTGAGGGCAAAGCCACACCCAGCTAAGGCTCATTTTAGGAAAGGAGAGAGCCCAAGAGATTCCCTTAGAAAACAAATTTCCAGGGAAGAGTTTCTTCGGCTTCAGCATAGAGAGACTCCTAAACTGTGGTCCCAGGGGGTGGGACTCCATCCTGAGCAGTCAGTTGAACTTGACAGTGTCACCCATGTGATATGAGTTTTAGAGACGAGAGATGCAAGGTTGAGGGGGTCATGGAATCTTACGTCACCGTTCCAGAGAGCCACTGAGGCTAGGCAACGTGTGGCAGGGTCGGAGTCCCTGCAAGGAACCTGTGTGTGAGTGGCCACTTAGGAGACCATGATGGTGAAGACTGGCTTGCAGTGGAGAACTCAGGATGTTGGAGATGCCAGAGTTGGGAGACATGCACTAGAAAAGCTACATACAGGAAGTGAGAACAGACCAAAAGAGAGACGTATGCTACAGGAAGAAAAGCTGGAGAGGCTGAGCCACCCTTTGAAAGGGAAGCCCTGGATACTGGACATGGGGTTACAGGATTTAGTGCTTACCCTGCTGGATTCTAGTCTTGCTTGGCCCAATATTTCTTTACTATGCCCCTATCTTTTCCTTTTCAGGGTAGGAATGTATATTCTGTGCCATTATATATTAGAAGTATGTTATTTTATTTTTAAAAGGGGTCACAGTTAAGAGATTGCCTTGAATCTCAGAGGAGAAGACTTGAAACTTCTGAATGGCATTTAGACTATTAAAGACAATGGGAACCTCTGAAGTTAAACCAAATGCACTTTGCACCATGATATGGCTGTCAGCCCATGGGGGCCAGGGATGGAATGTCGTGGTTGAAATGAGAAATATCCCCCATAGGCTCAGGCATGTGAACACTCAGTTCCTTGCTGGAGGAAGTACATCACGGAGTGGCAGGCTTTATTATAGCTCCGTCCGACTTCCTGTTCTCCCTCTCTGCTCCCCTGTGCATAGATAAAATGTGATTGATTACTCAGCTTTCTGCTCCTCCAGCCATGCCTTCCCTGCCATGATGGACTATTATACCCTGGAACCAGAAGCTAAACATAGACCATTCCTTCTGCACAGCAACAGAAAAGCCGTGAACACAGCATTGCCACATAGCGGGGAAGGCGTGGCTGGAAGGGGGGGAAGGGTAACTGGAGAGCAGGCTTCATAGGTTAGAGATTGGCCCAGTGCCAACCAAGCTTTCAGCTTCCTTATTCTGTGAAAATCTAAGCAATGGTGCCCTCATGTTCTCACAGCCATGTGTGTTTGTGTGTGAGCACATGTATGCATGTGTATGCATATTTGTGTGTTTGAGTGTATGCACATATATTGTTGTATATATGTGTATTGCATGTGTAAATGTATCTGTGTATGCTTGTGTGTGTTCATATGCATGTGTATATATATGTGTTTGTGTTATGCATGTATATGTTCACATGTGTGCGTATTTATGTGTATATGTGTGTTGGGCAGGACACTGACTTCCAGGAAGCATCACACTTAAAGAATCTGATCAAAGAATGGCTATTAACGTTTGTAGCATTTGCTGTTGTTCGTAGTGCTTGTTGTGATGTCTGAACCACGGTCTTTGTTCACCACTGTGCCAGGGCCTAGCTTAGTTTGATGGTCAGGGTGAGGTAGCAGCTGACCTCTGGGGGTGGCAACACAACCCTACGGATCTGCACTTGCCTACAGGTCTGAAGTTTGCCTGCATCACTGCTGAGCCACCCTGAGCAACTGCCTTTGCCTCTCTGGGCCTCATTTCCTCATTGGAAAAGTGGGATATGGTGCGGGGGTGGGGGGCAGCTGTCCCATGTCACAGAGCAAGGGAGAGGATTGTATAAGCTGAGGTGCAGATGTTCCTGAGTGCAAACAAGTGTCACTTCTGTCATGTTCAGTAGTACAGAAGGCCACCTAGCAGAGGAGAACTTTAAGCCCCACCCTATACCTGGAGGAGGTAAGCAAGTCTGTGAAGACCTCACTACTGACATCTTCCTTGGTATCTTGAGGCCCATGAGGTAGAGTCACAAATGGGGACTCTGGATCCTCCAGAGATGACCAGAAATGCAAGTCCCAGCCCTCTCTGTCCCTCAAAAGGACACTGGCACCACGAGTCTGTGCTCCTGGTTTCAGCTCCCAGCTGGGAAACCCACTGCAGGGTAGTCATCTCTGTCCCTGGAGAGTAGCCATCCCCCTGGAGTAGCCCTGGGAGCTCTGGAGCTTCTATCAATTCCTCTCTGGCTCCTCCCAGTTCAGGGAAGCAGCCCCATCCCAACCCATGCTCAAGAACAAGGCTGTTGATGCCTCATCCCCCAGCGGCATGGAGGGCCTGGCCCTGTCTCCCACAAGCCCTGCCTGGTCCCCATGGGCTTATCTGTCTGAAGGGTGGACATGTGTCCTGGCTTCACAGCCAGGCTCCCCTCTGATCGGCTTATGACTCACATCTCCAAGCAGAGCACTTGGCACAGGCAAAGCCGGCAGCCGTCTGTGTTCCCAGGCCCTCGGAGGCGGCCCGGCAGTGACAGTGTGATGGGGGGGCCACCCACCTACCCAATTATCTCCTCGGTGGGTGCCTGAGATTCCACCATGAAGACATCATTCTTTTGGAGGACATTAATATCTTATCTAGGCTTCGTTCTTTAAATACAAGCCCCGCGGGACCCACAGCATACCTGAATGCAGATGAGCATGTCCAAACATTTTCCTTTCCAGCAGCAGAGATCCAAGTTCTCAGGCTCCAAACTCAGCAACCTTTTCCAATGCCACCATGTTCAGTCACTCACCAAACAGAATCTCGACCCTGCTAACATATCACACCCTGTGCCCAAGGCAGAGGCAAGCAAGGCCCTTCCCAGTCCTGTCCTCAAGGTTTGGAATGGTAAGAGTTACTCTCTGCATCCACGGCCCCTTGCAAAATGCCTCGAATTCAGAAAGAACTCACGAAATGCTGAGCGGATTAATGGAAGTGAAGGGCGTGCCACCTGGGGAGGTGAGCAGGAGCTGCAGGGCTGGCTACCTGGGTCTTGCTCTCTGGCTTTGCTGCTCCACCTGTGGTGGGATCTCAGGTGAGTTCCCAGTCCTCTGCTTCAGTCTCCACAGCAGGAGAATTGGTGTCTTGAAGATTCATGGGGGATGCGCTGAGCTTATCTCTATGAAGTCCTTGGAACAGTTCCTGCCGCACGTTAAACACAAAGCAAGCGATTGTTCAATAGCGGCAGCTCAGCAAACATAACTGAACACACATGGACGGCATCTGGATGTTTGTTGGCTGGCTAAGAGCCACTCAGGGCAGGGGTGACCATCACCACTCGCTCTGTCCTCGGTGGTTGGCAAGGTGTGGGTGCCAGGTCGTGCGTGTGCCTGAACTGGCTCTGTGTTCTCCTCGAGCCATCTTTGATTCAAGTAGGCGCTAAGTACCACCGAGGTGGGAGCCGATCGGGCCTGTGGGTCTTGGCAGCCTGAGTTCTTGGAAATATGTTAGCATAGCTGCTGCCGGACCCCTGATGGGACTTTTTTTTTTCCCTGCCTGTTTGGGTGCAGACAGAAACTGTCAATACAGAACTGATCTTTATGGGAGAGAGAAGAATGTGCAAGGGTGGAAAGTGGGGCAATGGAACTAGCTGGAACAACCTGTACCTCCCACACCTACCCCAAGTCTGTGACTGACACTTGGTAAATACTGTTAGCGACGCCTGAGCGTGGCTTGGAACAGCCAGTCTCTTCCTGGTCCCTGGAGGGCACATGCTGTGATCTGTCAACTCCACACCCTGCCTGGGTGGGCGGGGCTCCAGGAGACCTCTCAGGTTGCCTTCTCCTCTCCCAAGTTTCCCCTCAGTACTGGGGGGTTCAGTCATGTTCCCCTGGCTTTCCCTAGCTCTCTGCCTCGCTATCTGTTCCACTCTTCCAGCCCCACCGAACTACCTTGGTTTGTTCATTTAGCAAACACACGCTGGCAGCCTACAGAGCCGCTTAGCAAACTCTAGGGTGAAGTGGAGGTTGTACTAGGGTCTGGGGACCACAAATGCATAATCTAGAAGGATTGAGATGGGAATCTAAAGAAAGAATTTAGCTGTCACTTGGGAGAAAGAGGAAAAAACTGCGAGTGTGAGGGACACAGAACACAGAGCCCGAAGATAGCCAGGGGGCTGGAAATGGGGGCAAGAGAAGCCCATGAGTTGGCTTAATGGGCAGAGGAGAAAAAGAATGACCCAGGGGACGGAGAAGCAGGCTTCAGAAAAGAAGTGGGCTTGTTGCTTTAAAATATAAAACAGTGTCATTTCTAAGGTTTTTCTAAAAACACAAAAAACACAAAACCACTGTGCCAAGGCCTAATTATTTTTCAGTGCTGGGAATGGAACCCACTGTCTTTGGCGTGCTAGGCAAGCTTTAGTCTACCACTGACCGATAGCCCTGCCTCTCAGAGGTCGAATTCCCATACAACAAAATCCACCCTTTCCAATATACAAACCAATCACTGACAGCGGAATGCAGTCACTCGGTTATGCAAGACACAGAACTCCCATGACTTCCAAAGCCCCTCACATCCCTCTACAGAGATTCTCACCAGCCTTGAGTCGCTTTCAAACCCCGAGAACAGCCTTGTCTAGACTTTGCTGTAGAGACCCACACACATGCTGCTGTCTGGCTCACCTCTCCCCCTGCTACGCTGCTTCTAACATTCCTTTGCACTGTGTATCAGGTCTGATTCCCTTTCCACTCCTGATCAATAGTCCCTGGTACTAGCCCATGGTCTGAGAGTTTCAACATCTCTTCTCCTGTGGACGGATGTTATCTTTAGGAAAGACTGTTTCCACCCCCAAACTCATGGCCTCGATGCCTTTCCTACTCCTAGAGAAGTCCAAGAGACTTATTTCTCAAGGAAGGGGAGAGCAAGGATAGAACAAAGAGTCTGTGCTGGCATGCATAAGTGCAGGGGAATCAGGTGACACCGTCCTCAGCAGGCAGAGGCAGGGATCTACATAGTGAATTCCAAGTCAGGCAGGACTACATAGTGAAAGCCTAGAGAAAGAGGGGAGAGATGGGGAGACTATTACAGGTTAGATCTCAAATATTCCCAAGTAGCATGTGTCCTGAAAGGGAGGGATTTGGGGAGGAGTCGGTGAACTGATTCCACCACTGATAGACTGACCTACATTACAGCCAGGGGTGTTTGGAGGACAGTGTGTAATGACAGGCCTTCTCCCACTTCCTGCCTGCCACCAGATGAGCTGGCCTCTGCTCTTCTGCCCTGCTTTGCCTCCTCATCACAGATCCCAAAGCAGTTGGACCCAAGCAACCCTGGGCTGAGGCCTCCAAAACTAGGAGCCAAAATATGCTTCGAGCTGACTTTCTCAGGTCGTTGGCGACAGTGACAGAGAGTCGACTGACATGGTTTCCGAAGCCAGCCTTGTGCAGAAGGAACAAAATGACCAGGAAGGACACAAGGAATTGCCTACTCTTGAGAGAATGGCACCTGAGGATAGGCAAAGGAGTGGGAGGAGGAGAAAGGATGGGGTGGGGGCACTGCGGACCTGCTCCAGGGCAGACAGGCAGCATTGACACCCACGAACGTGCCCAGGATGTTTGAGAGCATGTGACTGTGCCAATCTGTCCTGTGCCGCTGGTTCACGTAGACACCAAGGGGGAATCTAGAACAGTGTACCTCAGATGCCCTGTTGGTTCCGGCAACTATAAGACCTTAAATGTCTCTAGGGTGGAGTCCACAGCTCCGGATAGGATCAGGACAAGGAAGCCACAGAGAAGTGATAGCTGGGCCACCATCAACAACAGGGGATGTGGGCACATGCCTCAGGCCAAGAGGGGCCCAGGCCAGCACAGTAGTGCCCGCCAAGTCAGAGGCCAGATCTCAAAGACCAGTGAGTCAGACATCCAAAGCCAGAGAGGTAGCCATCAGCCCCGTATGGACAAGCAGCCACCCCTGTCCACAATGCAATGTCTCAGAAGAGAAAGATGGAGTGAGGGTGGGAGTGAGGGGGACAGGGAGGGTTTGAAGACAGACCCATATCAACAGAGTCACCGTCAACCAGTAAAATCCTGTTTGCTCATTTAGTATCCCCAAGTCAGCCCTGCAAAGGGGCTGGGAGCAAACTGGGGTCAGTCAGAGAGAGCAACAGCTTTGCTTCTGTTTGGTAGGCTGAAGGACACCCGCATTTTGTAAACATCCCCGGGTGATGTAAATGTGTAGGCAAGGTTGAGAAAATTAGATGGTGGAGGAAACTTGAGAAACAGCCTGGGTGACTCATCGGGGAGGCCGTGAAAATGCAGGCAACAGCCGGCCCCGGGGCAAGGCAGGGACCCGATGCTGATGCCAGTTGAGGACCACACTTTGGTTAGGAGGGGGTGGAATCACAGGGTCTGGCGACGTCCAGATGTCGTGGGTTGGATGGGCGAAGGCAGGGAGAGTTCCAGGTGTCCGGCCACCCCATCTGAGAGGCAAGGGGTCTTTGAGACATGTTGGGACAATTGCTGAGCTGGGGCTTGGAGGTGGAGTGAGTTCCATGTTAGGGTTCTGGTGATCAGAAAAGCCTGTTTGGCGTGAACAACAGAAGATCATAGACTGGAGACGCAGATGCGACAGTTCCTTTCTACATCAGCTCTCTTTGACCGACAAACGCCGAGTTCTAGTTTAAACATTCTTTGCATACTTCACTGAAAGGTTTTAGTGACCCATGAAGTCCGTAACAAATGAGTCTGCATTTTACATATGGAGAGACAGAGGCATAAAGAGGACGCTAAACTGTCCATCTAGTAACTGGCTTAGCTTAGTTTTGAACTCAGTTCGTTGGTCCAAGTGTACACATCAAATACCGTATCGCGTGGTCACCAGAGATGGGATCCCAATTCAAATTCTTTTAAACAGAACAAGAAAGTTGTTGGCAGATTAGCTTTAAGGTCAAGGGCCGGTCCTAATCACTGGCGGGCTCAGTTAGGAGCTAGTCTGATGTCCAGACCCTGCTTTATCTACAGGTCAACTTTCAGCACCACTATTTCTCCAGCGCCTCTCGGTAGGCATGACAACGGTCCTGGAGGCTGGAGGCTCAGACCTCATCTTTTCAGTAAAACCAATGGAGGAAGATGACAGTTACTGGCCCAGCATCATGAGTCATGGACCACTGCACAAGCCAATCACATACACCCACTAAGAAGGGTCCTGGAAAACACAGATTGCCCACAGGAGCAGGCAGTTAAAAGGACTCACTGGAATTCTATTTTGTAAGGTTTTGGTTGGCTCCACCCACTGTAAACCTTTGACCATTGTCTCAATGTCCTCCACCTTTCCCCGCTCAGCTTCCTATGGGTCACTCAAGACACAGGCTCAGCACCATAGACCATGTTTCCAGAGGCTATAACCCTCCTCCTCTTCCTCCTCCTCCTTCTTCCTTTTTCCTCCTCTTCCTCCTTCTCTTCCTTCTTTTTCTTCTTTTTGTTTTTTTTTGTGTTTTTCAAGATAGGGTTTCTCTGTAGCTTTGGAGCCTGTCCTGGAACTAGCTCTTATAGACCAGGCTGGCCTCAAACTCACAGAGATCTGTCTGTCTCTGCTTCCCAAGTGCTGGGATTAAAGGCATGCACCACTGTCCAGCCCTGTGACCCTTCTTATTAATAGCTTCTGGGAGGGACTTCCTCTTTCAGCTTTCTTTGTTTGGTGTGTTTCAAGGGACTGGTACATGTCAGATCAGGGCAGGGCTCAGAGAGCCGAGATGAGACCCCCAGCTAGCCAGACAAGCCTCAACATAGCCCAGACCTGTGTGGACACTGGGAAGACCCATTCAATATGTCAGAGACTCAGAGTACTGGATGGGGAGTCAGCGATCCTCCTGCCTCTAGCTCACAAATGCTAGCTTTCCACGCTTGCCTGGCTTAAGAAGTGATCTTTCTGTAATTTCTCTCTGTATACAGTTTATTTCTTCATTCCTTAATAGTCTTTCAAAGTGCCATGCTTTGATTTTGGTAAAGCCCAATGTGCCCACTTATTTTTTTAAAGATTTGCTTATCTTATTATTTTATGCATCAGAGTTTTTGCCCACCTGTTTGTATGCATACCGCTTCTCCGCTTCTGTCTTAGTTAGGGTTTCTATTGCTGTGAAGAGATACCATGACCATGGCAACTCTTAGAAAGGAACACATTTAATTGTGGTGGTTTGCTTACAGTTCAGAAGTTTAGTTTGTTATCATGGCAGGAAGCGGGGCAGCGTGCAGGCAGACATGGTGCTGGAGCTGAGAGCTCTACAT